GTTTGAATTTTCAGAAAATTTAGAGGATTTGTATGGAAATTGTTGCTGGAGAGCAAGGCCTTGCTCTCCAACAACGTTTTCCATACAAATCTTCTTATTTTTTAAAAATTCAGACCGTCGTAAAATCTCATTCTTTATAGACGGAGGCCTCAAACTTGGCCATTTTGGTAGTTTCAGTATGCTCTTTCCATTTCTGGCATTCTTTAAGTTATAACCCATAATAGAAATTTTTTAAAGAAAAAATGTGGTCACGTGACCCCAGCTGCAAAGGGCCTATTGTCAAGCACTATTAGAGACAAACACTGAATTGTTCTGAAAGACCTTGACAAATAAGTTTTCCGTTCTTAAAGGAGCTACGTCATGGTTTTTGCATCTTGAAACGTTTCGCCTAAATTTTTCAAGTTCGTTGTTTGTAATCCGTGTCAATCTGCTCCATCTTTAACCATCCTTGTTCCCTTATGGTTTGTTATCATCTCTTTGGTATTTTTCTATCTTAGTAAACCATGATTTTCAGGTAATTCTTCTCACTGTGACCCCTAGATTTTACTTATGTTACGGTTACATTTAGTTTTTTTGGGACCTCAGTATTTACAACCCTCTATCAAAAGGGTTTCCTAACACAGATTGTCACACAGTTTCGAATTCCGTTTTCGAATGTCGTTTACAAAGCTCTGTATTGTTGCTTGTTGATTCAGCGAGAATAGGTTCCGGGTAATTCGCGTATTGCTTCAAAGTTTAAACTATGCTCTCAAGCTAGCCTGTCTACAGGCTACTCTCATGCTAAAAATAAAATGTAAGTTGAGTAAATAGAATGCAAGCGTTACACTTCCGGTAGCATTACGAATGCAATTTGATCTGGTCTGATGCCCTGATCTGACGCATGGTGGTATGTATATAGTGAGATTTTGATTATAGACCTAACAATTAATTTTTGCGAGTCATATACCTGTTTGCTTATTTGCAGAAAATGTGCCTTAGAGGTTAGTTTTTAATCCACTCATTGTCATCTTTAGATTTCCTGTGTGACTGAAACCCGTCACTTCGACGTTTGAAGCCTGTTTTTTGTCCTCAAATTTGATTTAAACGCAAGCAAGTTGCGTGAACCGAGGGCTTAGACAAAATAAAATGCTAAAAACAGCTGGCTTGAGTCTCCAAGGTCTACATTCCAGTCCCTTAAAATAAATAAATAAATAAATAAATAAATAAACAAATAAATAGCTAGATAGATAAATAAATAAATAATAATAGAAATAAAATAAAATAAATAAATAAATAAGGTATTGACAAAGGGTTATCAATCTCAAGTGAGGTGACATAACAGCTCTTGTTAGACCACAAAGAGGATGGAAATTGACTGAAAATCACTCACCTCTCAACATAAACATGGCACCCACAAGCATGTGAAAGATGGACCCCCCACAGTCAACCCACAATCCATCGCACACCACCAAAAGTGAAGAGGAAGACTAGGTGCAAATTTTTCAGAACAATCTGCATTCTGAGGTGTTATGATGAGTAATTTTCTAACTCTTTATTGAATATCTTTATGAAAGAAGGCTCAAAATACAGAAAAATAGAGGATTTTTGCTCAATTTATAGGACTTCAGGGACAAGACTGAAAGAATAGGATTTTCTGGATTTTATAAGCTTAATAGGAATACCATGAATCCTCGAATTAGCACCCCTCCTATAGGCCAAATTTAACATAAGGTTGTCCCCTTGAAAAGGTGCCCCCCTCCCCTCCCCCTGGTTTGTGGAAGAGTACCGAGAAAATAAAGGATGTATAGTTTTAAAGGATGTCTAGCAAGTGATTATCGACTCATTAAAGCACTACACATTAACTGTCGTAATGGATGGTAGTGAAGATCTGCTGATTCATTGCCTAAAGCCCAACCAACCTTGTGCATCAAGTCTAGACCGGCTAAAGGTGTTATATTACGTAGCTCTTCAAGAGAGAGACGGGATCCTTCTGAGACTTCTGAGGGACTGACACATACATACATTACAAATAAACCGATCATATCTGACCACAATTTGGGAAGAATTAACTAAGTGTGCCCCCCTCGATTAAGCACCTCCCTTGAATAAGCACTCCGCAGCTTCTTGTAAATTTGAAACAAGTTCCCCTGGTGCTAATTTGAAGATTTACATTACAGGACTTGCTCGACACCCTGTAAATAAAATTGTCATTACAAATTTTGGGATAGAAAAATTCTATCCAGCCGATCACAAGCAAGATCTGTCCAACCACCCTGTGTAAATTTTATCCCTGTAACTTTCAGTGGCACAGTCTGATAATCGCTAAGTGGATGAAATAAAGTAACTGTCTTAAGTTTTGTATCCTTAATTCTGCATGAACAAATATTTCAAATAATTTGCATCAAGCACTCCCGAGACTACACAAAGCAACATAATATTGCTTCTTTTCTTAAAATATTTGTGATTATAATAATTTACTCAGACCTCTGCTTACTAAAACCTCCCATAGGAGGGTACCTTTTGTAAACAGTCATGCTTTGAGCCTTAGGGTTTCCAATAACGATTGTTTCTGGTACCATGTTGTTACCGTGATTCAAAAATAATGGAATTGACAAACCTTTTGCCACGGACACATCTTCAGCCTAGCTGATCAAAATTCATTTGCTGAAAATTTTTTTTCATGGAACCGAAAAAAGGTGCTGCTCAGGGATCGAAAAAAGTGCTGTCCCATTGTCCCGGACAAGTAGATTTTCCTTCTAGGCAAGTAACTTATCTTTCTCGCTTGCCAGATGAGCAAGGGATCAGGCAAGTTGTCTGACAGCTAGATCATTAAAGTAGCAAACTAAGACTTGCCTTGCCAAGCAAAATTTGAGAGCTACTTGTCACCCCAAGGGCAAGCTGGAATTCAAGATTTTTTTGCGAGCCCTCGTTACTGAACAAATTTGAAAATACCCTAGAGCTTGTGTTTCATGTTTCYAGTRACATATGAACACAATACTGTTAACTTCCTATAAGCAGGCAGTTCTCTCAGTGGACATTTTTCCTAGTCTACTGTACAACATAATGGCAGGTCTCTTCAATCTGAAAAAACTGATCAATTTGTAACCTCCCTTTGCCTTTTTTCAAATTTCAAGAGTGCAAGGAAAGCGAATAAATTATCTGATCAGGTCATAAAACACAACTTAGCCTATTTAACAGCTATATTCACCAAAAGGTAATTATCACAAATGCGTGAGAGCAGTAAGGAGAAACTGGATAATAACATTGATACTTTGTAAATTTTCAAAGAATAATTAGAATGGCTGTCATTGTGATCACAACAAAGGTTATTTGACCAAAAAAGGTTGTAAAATGCAATCAAAGCCTTGGTTGCAAACAACTGAGAAAGATCTTTGAAGCAGATTATCAGCACCTTGGCAAGTTGTTAACTTGTAGTTAATAAAAGTAGATTAAAGACCACAGTAAAACTGACATTTTGAGTGAAAGCCTTTCTTCAGAGGAAAAGAGCAGGTGAACTTCTCAAACTAGTTACAGTGGTTAATTAACCTTAATCAGCTTCAAGTTAATAAATGGTCTTTCACTTGCTAGTTGACATAGCACAATAGCAACCTCTTACTGACTGAGTGCCAGGGCTATACTTAGTTCTTATCAACCAAGCAGGAGGTCTTTATGGGAGAATCTTGATGCACGTTGTGAGCACAGACCCAATGCAGTTAGGTCTGTACTCATGACCGAGGTTAAGATTCTCCCATACACACCGACTAAGCACAGTTAATACTATGTTTATTAAATGGCAAACAAGGAAAATCTAATTCGTTTAATGTAACTGGTTTCTACCAGTTGACATTTTGCCTGCGAACAGTGATGAGCTGAACTTAAATCTGCCAAAGTTTGCCCATTGTCTTTAATTTTTTTTCTCATCAGGCTTTTTGGCACTTCTATAGTATGAATATTGTCTGGAACTAATATTTCTAGAAGAAAATAGTTAATATTTTTGTGCTTTAGTTTGCAACGTTTCCACTGCAAAATGTAACCAGTCTACATGCTGGTCTAGATGGGAAAATCTAGACCGTGGTCAATATCAATGTCAGCCAATCAAATTGGAGAACTTGGTAGTTCCCAGTGCATGTGAGACACAGCCATATAATAAATAACAATAGCTTCCATTTGGTGCACAGATGTGCTGGCCTATTTGTCTGTGAAGATCATCTGTTCCGAGAAGCGAACATTTTCCCAAGAGCTCGAGGAAAACTACAGTCTCTGAGGAACAGATAATGTCCAAGGACAAATATCTGAACACATTTTTGCCACAAATAGAGGCTATTGTGTTAATTATCCTTCAAATATTTTTCACAACACACGCAGTTTTGAAAATTGGAGAATATCTTTGTGACGCGTTTAGACCGATAGCGCTTGAGCGAAAATATTTGGTGAATTATAATTGGGAATATTAGCCTGAAGACAGGTCGGGGCAGTTAGTTCCAGCCTTGTGAGCACGAGACCTATCATGCCCACCTTCCCTCCCCCCACCCCCACTTTGTGTTGGTATCGTCTTGAAAAATCTTGCCTAGTGTAAGATGCCAAAGTGAAAGGACGTGAATCACTACTGGTATTCCGTTGCTTTTTTTTTTGAAAAATTTATTTACCATATTACCTGCGATCTAGTGACTTCGTACAGACATATTTTGTTGCCAAAAGTGATGAACTTGTCCTGTTGGTTTGGCGACCACAACACTTGCCACTTTCCCGTGCTCATTTTGGACAGTTCGCCAAAAAAAATGAAGCTGACTGTGTCATATGGGCACAAATAAAGTCATCCATGTCTCGTTTAAGGGAAAAATAACTAATTGAAGTCATCGAGGGCCTTGAAAATGTCTCTCCACAAGCTGACAAGCTGAAGATGAAAGGCTGTGGTAGAGCTGAGAAGTGGAGTGAGTCATCAAAATCCAGCGGTTTCGTTATATCACGTGATCTCCTCGGGTCTCTTCATTGGTTGGAAGGAAAAATTGAAATAACACCGCGAGAAACTTCTTCTTTTCATCGCAAGATTTATCTCTGTTTCTACAACAAAATGGGATCTACGACAAACGAAGAACTGGAGAACCTGGGACTTAACTTGAAGAAGGTACAAGAAAAATTTCTCAACGAATGGACTGGGGAATCTTTTCGAAAAGCGCGCCTGGAGGATAAAGAGAACCATGAAAATATGTTGACTGGCGGGAAAGGTATGAAATCTTGTACGTTTGTGATCACGGAGGTGTTCCCTTATTTTGTCAATCTAAATTTAACTGTCTTCTTCATTTCTAACTCAAAGAGAAGATGAAGCATCTGGAAGACAAAATCAATCGATATCATCTTCAAAGTGAAAAAAATTTGGAAGGTAAGAAATGTGGCGTTTAAAATACCAGATCTGTTGTGTTTACACTTAGTTCAGAATTCAACGTTATTCCTCAAGTGATCAGTCAGAGTGTTTTTTCACTCTGCAGTTCTACGACAGAGGGCTGAAGAAGTTGCAAATCTCGAAAAAGAGCTTCGAGAGTTACAGATGACAGCGGAACGCTTGGTGGAGAAGAGGAATCAAAAGCAAAAACATTTCGAACAAACTGAAGGGCGATTACAGAAACAACAGGAAGGTAATCAAAGAGTAAGCTTGCGTAGGCTAGGAGGGGTAGAGACTCAAAGAAACGAGTGGCCTTCAGAAATCTTCCCCCCCCCCCNACCAAAATTCTTCCTTTGTATAAGCCAACACCTACTGTGTCAGTGTGTGGTGGGAAACCACTGTTTCCAAGGTAGTCGTCACTTTACACCTCTTTTGTATACCTAGCATTAGTCAATCTACGACTCCATGGTGAATTTCAAGGTGATCAGAAAAATATTGATCTTATCTTTGTCAGAAATTTCCGCCAAGGAACAGAGCACCTCTTACAAGATCAAACAATTTACCAAAGGGACAGAATACTTTAAAGAAAGGCTGGGATTATCCTTTAAGAAGGTGGATGGTAGGTCCAATTTAAGAATTTGCCTTTAATAAATGTAGGATTGTCTGTCAACCATTAATAACTGGGTTTCTGCTTGGAAGAAAAAAAAAACACCCCAAATCACTTTTTTTAAAAGTCTTTTTAACTCTTTTTAAGTCTCTTTAAGTTTTTTTTTAAAGTCTTTAGCACTATTGTGCTAACTGAGGACACTGAAATGAGCAAACAAATATTGTAAATTGAACAGAANGTGGAAAAAGTCTGCTTGCAAGTTATGATTAGGTCTTGGAGACCCCCTCACTACTGAAATTTCCAACGATCCTCTACAGGGTGGGTATGAATATGTTCTGGAACAACATATTCTCAGCTATAAAATATTATGTGCTTGAAAAAAATACTTCTGAAGTCCCACCATATACTGTCATCTGAGGTCGATTTATCACACAACAATTTACAACTTCTAATGCAATATAAAATACATGCACTTTAATGGGTTTTTCTAAAAATTGTTTGTGGAGGATTCAGTGGGCTTAGAGTTTGTGTGCTGAACAGAGGGTGTGCTTTAATACTGGGACAACCATGTAGTGCACTTGCATTTTGTTCAAAGAGGGAGTAGGCATACTTTTATTGCTGTTCACTTCATGCTTCAGCAGAAAGCAGAGATGTGTGCTACGTGCTGCCCTGATGAGCCACTAAGCTCAAACACAGTCTTTATCTGGAGTTAGTCCAGATGTTGCCCGTGGAAGCAGCAGATCAAGGAGGTGATCACTCCAAGAATTTGACCCTTGGTTGAAATTTTTTTCTGCAACCTCATCCTTCTCCTCTTAAAGCTGGGCTGAAAATTTTCTATGTATAGTAATCACCTTACAGAAGTCAAAAATATAATGAAAATTGCCTTGGGCCATTTCTTCTCAGTGTTTGTCATACATGTAACCCTTGTTACACCCATTTCACTTAAAATTAATTTGTCTCTCCATTTCTTAGAGGAGCATTTGCAGTTTGTGTTCAAGTACATAGACCCAAAAGATGAAGAGAAGCCTTTTGTTTTCACTGTGGCCATTACTAATCATGACAAATACAATGGTAATAATGCAAATGTACTAAATGTATTTATGTTTAAATGCTTTAGCCACCCAGGTGTATAAATGGGTACCACTGAATGTAATGCTAGGGGGTAACCCTGCAATGGATTAGCATCCTTTCCAGGGGGGGAGTTGAAATATTTCTAGTTTTTTTTTTTCTTTTAACATTTTAGAAATATTCCTAGTTGCTTCATGCTACAGAAAGTGGAGATAAGCATAAGCCTGATGGCTCACTTGGCTTGCATGTAGACTTAAACCTTTATCCACCCTTGATTTCAACAAATTCTTTAAACTTTTCTTACATAACAGCATATTAAAAGTTGGAAGAACCTGCTTGAATCTCAATGTGACAATATTTGTTTGAATGATTTCCCATTTTTGATCAGTTCTATATTCGTCTGTGTTAAATATCACACTGCACATGTAGGTTGAGAAAAATAACGTTTCAAAGTTGAGGGAAAAATGTTGAAACTCAACTGGAAGTAGCTACTGTAAATATTTTCTAGCCTGGCTTGCAGAAACACATGGTTTAGAAGAGGATTTTAGCTTACATTCTACTTTGAGGATTAATTTGTTTTTGCAATTCACGTTCACAGTCAAAGATTGCATGCCAGAGGTTGAAGGACTTGCCGAAATGGTGGACAACCTGAACAGAACAAACAACTTTTCCATGTTTGTAATCAGCATGAGGAGAAAGTTTAAAGATTTTGTAAAAACAACAGAATAGTACAGCTATTAAACACGTGTAAATAAGAGTACTATAAATCATCTACTGTTAAAGGAGCTGTTATCAAAATGAAATATGTGTGAAAGAGTGGAAATGTTGTGGAACAAAGTGTCAGAAAGCAAGGCTGTGCTTTGTATTTGACAAGCTATTTTTATCTATAAAAAATGTGTGAAAACTTTTTTTGACGTGCAGAGCATGATTGTACCATAGATTTAAATACTCATTAGGGTTTTAACATGTATCGGACTGGTGGTGTTAACAGGGTTTAGTGTAACATAATGGTGAGATAAGCAAAGTGCAAGCTGGTGAATTGACCAACAACTTTTAAGGCCGGCCATCTTACTCTAAGAAAGACTTACAGTGCAAGTGTATGTGACAAACAGCAGGAAAGGGTACATGTAACAATACTTTTTCAGGAGCAAGAACTGAAAATGAAAATGTTCTAGAGTTAGGTAAACTGGTCGCAGAGGTAAATAAATATTTAAACTTATCCATGACAGCTTGCTCAAAAGTTACCACAAGCACACTCAGCTAACTCTGTTACAGTCTTTCCCGTAAAACTGTGAACACCAGAGAAAATTTCTGGAATGTTTATTGTTTCACGACCGATCAGATGCAAGATGAAACCGCAAAAGGTAACTTCCAAACCATAAAGTGGGTACCCCTGTAAGGCAGACAGCTCCAGCTGAATTTCACTTGTTTCTCTGTATAACTATACTCTACAGTGGACAGCTGGAGCCACTGCTGAGGGTGTCCACCTGAGAGAGAGTTCAGTGTAGTTAACAAATAGATTCCATGTTGGTATGCATCTGTTCAGTAATAGGTCATAGATGATGTTGATGCTCCTACCACATTTTGACATCTTCTGTGATGTATTACTGAACAGACCCATGGCAACATGGAATCTACTTGTTCTATGTAATAAAGAAACAAGAAAACTTGTCCACGACATCATCTACACGTGTGTCCTCCAATAGATCCTAACTCGGAACCATAAAGATGTTTTCACACTAAAGAAAACTAAACATCACAAGGTTTAAAATTTATTTCTCCAGTTTTCTTCAAAATTAGATTACCAAACAATAAGTTTCTCATTAATAACTTGATTTTTTGGGGGTGCCCTAACATCACTCATAATAAATTGCTGAAATACTATAAATAGAACCTCACAAAAGTACAAAATTAACTTTGCAAAGTTTTGTTTTAACCAATATTAGAGCAGGTTGGATTTTTGTTGCAGTCATCTAGCTTACAAGCAGATATCCATTGAAATTAGGCCTTTCAAAAGTTCTGTGAGGGAAATCAGCCCCACTGTCTTGAAAGTACACCCTGGATTTCAGTAGTCTCCCTGAGTCACACACTGCAGAGAGTGCAACTTGGGGAGATGGCCGAAATTCAGACTATTCAGACCATAAGCTCAGTATATACAAGATTTATTGCATACTTTCTTTTGTAACTGGAGCTGTAGAAACTTTATGCAGTCCATTACTAGCAAAAATTATATTAGACAAAATAATTAAAACACTCTGACTGGCTTATTTAATCAGTATTGGTCTTGTCAGCCATGTTAGCTGTGAAATAAATCTGTATACAGACTAATACAAATGGAGACCACTGAACAGTGTTTAATTTTGCTCTGACTGGCTATCTTAACTCAGGATACACTGTACCTTCCATAATCCACTTGTGTGTAAATCACACCATACTGGCAATAAATATTACATGTTTTGCTCCATCCATTCACTGGTTTGTTTCAAATTGAAAGTTTAAAAAATTTAATTGATGGTAGATAATTCTTTTTTTATGTTCTTCTTAGTCTACCATTTTACACTGTAAGATCTTTGTGGCTCAAGTATATTAAAAAGAAGCGACTTTTTAAAACTTAGCTATAAAAAAAATTGCAAAATTTTTTTTCTCACAAACATTTAAGAAATTTTTAAATGGTTAAAATATACACGACGTTTCAATGTTCTTGGACATCATTATCAAGTTAAAAGAAACTATATTTTATAAATACAAGAAAAACAATAGTTCATTAAAAAAGGGTAACAAAAATATGCTACAAGCTGGACAAAGAGTTAAGCACTGATGGAGTCACTGAGTGACTCTGATAATGATGTCTGAGAACATTGAAACGTGTATTTTTTAACTGTTTAAAAATTCCTTAAATGTTTTTAAGAAAAGTATGTTTTTCATGATATGATGATAAAATTTGTCCCTTTGCAAAATTGCTGTCCAATTTTTACATCTGCAGTTTATTGCATTTGGCTGATGTTTGTATATATTGGTGGAGTATAATCACATCTGAACTTTATATTTCAGTAGTCTTTTACAGTAACATTTTTCTCCAAACTGATTGTAATAAAAGCATACATGTATGTATTATTATTTTTTTTTACCAAAAATCACATTTTACCAACAATATTCACCAGTAGAAGTGTACACTGTTGATCATGCTTTTGGTACAATGGCTTGTGTTTATGGAGGAAACGATGTTGTGGAATATTGTGCCTACATAGTTATCTTGAACTGTGCAGTAACGGTAACTTTCATAAGTTTTTAATCCTGCAATTATTTACAAAACCCTTATATCAAAGGCATTGCAAAATGAAAACATTTGTTTCATTTTTGCTGGAATTCCATGTTCTGAAAACAGGGACATACAAAAGCATTTTCCCCCCGCTATCTTTGGCATTGATATGATCTTGAACACATTCTTTACAGTCATCCAATTTCTTCAACATAGCTAGCTGGAAATATTCCTGTTCTGTTATGAAGCTCTCCTTGCCACCAGCCACCGTCCAATTTAGCTGTTAATATGATAATGTCTCCTGGTAAAATATCAAGTTCATCACTTTGTGCTGCCTTGTATTCATACAGAGCACGACATTGACAGATCCCTGGAACAAAACAGTGATTTATAAATTAATTATAACAAGTAAGGCAAACAATGACACTGATGACTCATAAATAGTTCAGTTTGGTCTTGCACAACTTAGTAAGAGTGAAAGCTGTACATGCCTTACTTTATCTAACCAATGCACAAGATAGCATTTACTATCACAATGTATTTAAGCAATACAGCACTTTTTCCATGTTTACATAGCCTCATCTAAGCACTTGGAGGGCTTCAAAAATTGAAGACAGTTATGGAAACCCAAGATGCAATACAGTAATCAGTACACTGCGGTAATCAGGAGTTGAGGAGTAAGCTTCGTAGAGTGAAGTGATATCTAGTTGAAAGCAAAGTTAAACCCAGAATCAACAGGCAAGTTTCTGAAACATCCACTTTGCTTTTGTGAATCTAAAATGTCACAAATGTGTTTACATACTCTCATCTAAACACACACTATTCACCAATGAGAGTGCATGTAGTATCTTGCATATTCAAGAAACGACTAAGATGGCTACATGCCACTCACCAGGTGGTTCTGGAAAATCATCAAATTCATCATCACCTGGTAAATGTGATAAAAACAGAAATCAATCAATCCCTTTACTTCCAGGAGCAGCAAAATTCAAAAGAAAATTTATTTTTAGATGATAGTTAAAACTGAACAGCTCCATACGTAGCCATACATATAATGATAATAATAATAACAATAACAATAACAATAACAATAACAATAACAATAACAATAACAATAACAACAACAGTAACAATAACAGTAACAGTTACAGTTATAGTAATAGTGATAATAAAAATAACAACAATGACAATAACAGTAACAGTTATAGTAATAGTAANTGATTACCTATACTACTAATAATAATTATTTATAATAATAATAATAATAATAATAATAATAAACTTTATTCATCGAGGGTAGCACACAACAGTATATAATCACTGAAAAACCAGTGGCCCTCATATAAATATATTTACAGAATAAAAAAGATTACATTTTAAATAATTAAAAATATAGAAACTGATTCTCAAATATGCAACGATTATATAAAAAACTGACTAAAATATTGAAAAGCAAAGCATTGGATCAAGTTTAACAATTAAAACAAGAAAATTAAAAATTTACATGATAAAATGGGCCAATTCCTTATAACTGTCCATAAAATGTTTAAAAATGGATTTTTTGAAGCTTGTAAGATTAGGTTGGTTTTTAAGGTGGGCAGATATCATATTCCAGAGGTGGCTAGTCGATACTGAGAAAGACCTTCCACCCTCAGTCTCCCATTTGAATTGGGGGCAGATAAGGTTTAATTGACCATGCCTGCTCGTTCTTCTGTTCACATCTGTATTCCTAACAAGCATATGAGTAAGATAGGATGGGCACTCCCCTAAAATCTGTTTATATACCAATATTGACTTATTTATTTTCGCTTCATGGTAAAATGGAACCCAACCTAATTGTTTAAAAAGTTTCACACTGTTCGCTTTTGTGTTGGTACCCAGTATTACGCTGTGCATTTCTGTAGCCTGGACCTTTCTGAAAGTTTTCTACAGAGCAGGATGTCCACATGGTTGAGGCATACAGCATTGTCTGCTTAATCATTGTGTCATAACAAAGCTTCCTTTGATCAAGAGGTAGTGAGCGTCTAATTTTCCGCAACAAAGCGATTCTCTGTGCTAACTTCTTGCACAGGTCATCCACGTGCTGGTCAAAGGAAAGCTGACTGTCAATCGTCACCCCAAGCAGTTTGTGCGAGTGCACTTGATTAAGTTCACAAGACTTTAAACGTAACTAAAGGGAGGAATGTTCCATCTTCTTCACCAATCATTTTCCCGTAACAAGCAGAGATTTTGTTTTGGACTCATTTAACAACATTGTATTACTTGATGACCAATTCACGACTTCATCAATGTCCTTCTGTAGGCCCTCTGAGACGAAATTGGGGGCCGCTTGATAGCAAGTAGAGTAGCTGATTGTAGTGCCGTCAGCATATATATCAGTGACACAGTACTGCAGTGCTTCAGGCAGATCATTAAAAAATACAAGGAATAAGATAGGATCTAAAATGCTAACTAAAATATTACCTAAAATATTACTTAAGAGTTTCACCCTCATGTCAAGCTATGTTTTGTTGAATCACAATAATTGACAGAAGGTCTTTAGAATAACATAATGAATACAGTGGTAAAGGAAGATTTCCTCAATAGCTAAATTCAGCAACAGCTGGTAAGAAAATGCTCATACAACAGCCTTAACTCCTGCTGTTAAATACAGATCTCTTAAAGAATGTAAAGGGACCTGTTAAATGTCATGCATTCCTTTGACACCCAAGATTATCTATATCCGCAAGGATCTTAGATCTATCTCATAATGTAATTGTTTAATCAAGTCAAGTGTTCTTACTTTTGTTGTCTCTCTCGTCTTGTACACCAGGAGACTCAACTGTAGTTACTTGATCAAGTGGAATTTTAAGATAACTCTGTAACAGGCCCTGTACACAATTAACAAATTAATACAATTGTACAACTATGTGACACAAATTCTGCTATATCAAATATTGGTATAGAATTACTCTTGGGGGCAAGGGTCCCTTAATATGTAAATGGTCCATTTCTCGTACTACATTGCAGATTCTGTGGGAATGGAGTAGCAAGTATGCTGTATGTTATCTAACCTGTTTGTCCTTGGTGGTTGTTATGTAAGGCGTTAGCCAAACATCTGGTTTGTGATGGCCATTCAGGTCTGCCAAAGCAGCTTGGACTTTACTGACACTTGCTGTCAAACTATTGATTATTGCATTTGCCTGTAAAGTGAAACATGCATTCAATAAAAAAATAAATAAAATTATATCAAAATGAGCTCAAAGAAGCCAACATCACCTGGACTATGGTAAAAAGAACAGCCGCGAACAAAGTCCGCTGGCGTGGCATTGTAACTGCCCTTTGTTCCACTAGGAACGTAATGGCCTAACTATACCAAAATAATGTCCATTATGCATAAAAGCTTGTGACTATTGCAGAGGTGGAAGGAATCCTTCCTATTCTCCTTAAATAAGATGGTAGTTAAGTTAACTGAAATAGTTAACTTACAGTTGAGTGTTAATTAGGAAGTTGCATTAGATTTAAATTTAGTTAGCATTTTCTGTAATATATAAACCACAAATGACTGCACTGGACCACATTTCCAAACACTAAGAGGAGAGCTGAAAATACAACATAGCAGAGTATTTTTGTCCCACTTCGATGTGTTAGAAAATGCAGTCAATTGTGGTCTTGAGTGTTTGATATGACTTCCCAATTATAACTAAAACTAAGGAGAAAACTGGGAAATGAAACTGTTAAACTCTATGCTAATCAAGATCAGATATTAATCAAACACTTTCCCTAAGTATATCTAAACTTAATGAATTATTAGATAAAAAATTTAAGTTCCAAAAGTTTTTTAATAATAGTACATACTGTTAAGAATAACTTGTTTCTACTCTGAATGTTGACAGTAGTACATGGTTGCTGATTTCAGACAAGAACCTTGATTTGCTGAGTCCCTGAGTGGCACATTAAAAGTAATTGAGAAAAGGAAAAAGGTATTTAAAAAGAGATAAACTTACATGTGCAAGTTGAGTAGCGACATCTTGTTGACCTTCTTCACTGCAGTAATCAGGAGTTGAGGAGTAAGCTTCATAGAGTGAAGTGATACCTAGTTGAAGGCAAAGTTAAACCACAAATCAACAGGCAAGTTTCCAAAGCATCCTTATTCCACTTCGTTGAAGTAAACAATTCATGGTGTAAATTATGTATCACAACAAGGTGTCCTACCATCTTTTGTTTTCTTTTGTTTCTCTAGTGATTCCGAGAGTAGTTGGATCTTTGTTTGAAGCCCAGTTCTTCTTCTGTCAAAGTTCATGGGAGTCTCTAAATCCTCCTCCTACATGCAGAACAAAATTTACCACTTAGTCGGCACATAAATAAACAATACAGTTCAGTGAAACAGTGTTTCTGCATTATGTTAGTTGGCACTTGTCTTGACTGACTTGTTTCACTTCAATTTGTCGTATCAGCCACCAAGCTACATTAAGCTCTGTGTAATATTATGTAATGGGTGGAGCAAATGTATGCAGTAACATCCAGATATGTACATAACTTTACCCAATTTTCTAACACATTTTCCAGGCATACAGTGGACAAGAATTTTTTTAAAAAATACTAGCTCTAATGTTGGGATATTTTCTTTATAAAGTATCACAAAATGCTCAAAACAGAATGCAGTTGAACCTCCACAAATGGCCACTTTCCTCTGTCCCCAAGGTGGCCACTGTGAAGAGGTTTGACTGTACAAAACATTAAATAGCAAAATGTTACTCACTGACAATCACTGAAGGAGGATAAATTTATTGCACCAGATATTGATTAAAATTGACAGAAATGGTACTCACATAGCAATCATACAAGATCTGTTGTGAAGGCCCTCGTGGTTCACCTCTTGTTTTAGCTGCTGTAACAACATCTTCTGAGGGATTAATCTTCCATACTTCTGAACTAACATTCTCATAATTCTGTCAAAAGGAAATACAGTTTCAACCTGACTAGTTTAAATAACCCTATTACATAGTGCAACATGGCTGGCACAGTGGTCTACAGCCTAGCATACCACCTAGGATCTAGAGGAGAGTAGAAATACTCTGTTACTAAATGCCGCCAAAACCAGGATAAGCTCTGGCACAATAGACCACTTGGTTTAAGCAGACTTAAACCCATTAATATTTAGAAAATAGCCCAAAGAAAATGCGCACACCGATTGGTTTAAAATCACGTCTATTAAGCAACTGGATTATGAGTTCAAGATTTGTATCATATTATGCATAGAAATCTACTAGTCTGTCAAAACTTTATCTAAATCCTCTTCACAGACACCTCGAAAACACAAAGAAGTGACTGCCATTTTGTTAACGAGAGCACACTGCTACATGTACGTTACTCACTGTTTATCACAGAATAGATCGATAGTGAGTAGCGTAGCGGATCAGAGAATGGCATTTGTGATAGAACCCTAGTAGATTTATACTAATTAACAATAATAGATTATGAGCTCAAGATTTCTATGAAATGATAGTTGATGAGGCAGAAGACCAAATCAACTATTGCCTCATAGAAATTGAGAGCAGATAATCTAATTGTCTTAGTAGAATTCTAATGAAGCTTTAAAGAAATTCTTTAAAGTGCAGTTAATGGAGCATGACACTCTAGGCCCCTGCTGGGTTGTTACTGTTGTTGTAAGTGCAATATTTAAATGAAATGCAACAAATTCTTTTGTTTTTCTTGTCTCAAAGAGACAATGAACACTTAGCCTTTCATGAATACATGTTGCAACACTGTCTAGAACACTGATACATCACATATTTTGCATGGTTAGTCTAAAATATCTCCATTCACGTCTCCTTCTAAGCTGCAAGAGGATCTTTACTTTATATGGTACATAATTCACCATTGACCTAAACCCAGACAGCTGTCTGGCTATAAAGAGTTCTAGCTTGAACTTTAGCACCATTCGCTAGCTTTATCGCTACTGTGAGTATTATTTAGTCTTCCACTCCTACCCTCCATCCTTTTGGAGGTTTGATTGTTGTCATTATTTGAATGAATAAAGTCCTCTCTCACTGTGATGCTATTGGTTAAGTCTTGCAGTGACTTCCCCAAGATTTGTTTTTCGCTATTTAGTAGCACTATTTTGCTCTCATTTTGCCTAATTCAATGCAGCATGTGTAGGTGATGTTGGCTCGTAGTGCTAGGGATATAGTAGGCTTGAGCAAGCAACAAATGTCTATACTCTGGCACGATGCTGGCCAGAGGCTTCAGCTTATAGTGCTGTTAGACTTTAAACTTTTGCCAACTTGTCTGATCCAGTGCAGATTTTACCCCTGAGGAAGACAAGTAAGGCTTTGGCCACAGAACCTTTATCCTTGTGTGGTTTTTGCATCCGTCTATTACAAACCTTGGAACATAACTCTCAAGGAACTGCAACATTACACTGTAACTGAAATTAATGCTAACAATAGGTGATTCCACAAAATATCCATACCCTACCACGGGCCACATGAACATTTCAACCCCCTTGCCTTAGGAAATTCCAAAATGCTCTACCCCTCATGCCCTCCAAATTCCAAAATCATTAACCCCTTCTCCCTCCAGAATTTCTGATTTATTTTTTCAGACCCTTTGGAATTCCTGTTTGACTGGCTAAAACTTCTAATGAATAGGAAACTTGCACTTTTCCCCCCCCTCAAAGGAAATTCTGCTAACAATTTTTGGTCTAGCAAACAAGCCACTCAAGTTTGTCAATGTTATAAAGTACACCGTGTTTTAAGCTGCTTACTACCAAATAAAACTTTTTGCTTTCCGTTCATTAGCTTCATATTTTCAGGAAAGTAGATCACATTGACAGTGTATTGATACCAGTGAAAGACAAAAGTAAAGTTCATGATGTGCTGTCACCCACCATATTGAAAATTTCATTCACTGAGTAACTGTTGACCACTAGTAATGCAGCCTTACAAATCTGTCAGGTGTTCCATTTGGAAGCGAGAGCCTGGTGCAAGATTTTTGCATGCAACAGGATCGTCTGTCGACAATTTTAGATCAGAAAGAAACACAGACTGATGTTATAGTTATTTTAATAATCTGTCAACTAATTCATCAACTTTAAGGCCTCCTTGAAGTGGAGCTTGCTGAACAAGCCATCTGCCGCTCATCCGCATGAATGCTAACACCTGTGGTTTATGCTTGATTTACAAATCAGAAAAGTTAACAGATCAGTGATTTCAAGTGAAGCTTTCACCTTCTTCCCCCTATGGAAATTCAGAGCTGAACCCCCCTCCCCCTAAGTGTTTGGAATTCCAAACTGCATCACGCCCCCATACATTCAGAATTCCAGTCCAAGAAACCCCCCTCACCCTCGAAATTCTAAGATGCTGCCCTTGGTATGGTATGGATATTTTCTGGAATCACCCAAAGTTTCCAATTATTTGTGTATGTACTATTAAGCTTCATGCATTAACAAAATTGCATGGACTGAATTGTCATTGGAAATTTGCAGTTGTCTACATGTACGCAGCCATTTTTTATCCCCTAGGGTCTAAACTTTCCTTCAAAACTTTGGCAAAACGAAAAAACGCCCCCATCTCGTGGACAGACAACAGCTACTGCACTTTAATGACTGATAGTGTATGAGTACCTCAGCCAATCAGATTGCAGCATTTTCACTAGTATACCAGTAGAATATTACTAAAACTCGATAGAGAAAGGGTACATGTTTTCTGTTTCTTAAATATTACCATGATATTTCTTACCAGTAAATACCGTATTACCAAACCAGCAAATAATCTTTATTTATTATTTATCATTACACGACATCATGCAACTTTCTAAAGATGTTCTGAGAAACTTTTAGCAATTTCCAAATATTTTAAGTCTGAACCTGCAACCACTGTTAGTAAAAGTTGAAAGATCCTAAAATGTCTCAGAAGCATTTATGATCTATGGAAGATTGGTGCATTGATACTCACTTGTTGAAGCTGAGGAATCACAGCAGCTAGCATGTTACTATATAATGAGCACATCTCACGCAAATGTGTTATTCTTTCTTCTTCTAACTTTTCACAAGTCTGAAAACCCAATACAATTGATTGCAAATAAATGCCTAATTATTATTGTTTGTAAGACAGAATAAACTCATAAGCAAACATTAAATATACTCTTTTTCATTCAAGAATTTTACCTGACAAAACCTTAACATAGCAGCGTCCCACTCAAGTCTTGCCTTCTCAGTCTTTTCATACAGTTCACGATATTCCTTATCTGTCAGAACACAATGACAGGTAGGTCGTCAAGTGGGTAAAATAAGCTCAAATATAAAGAAAACTCTTTACAGCTAATAGAAGATGGGAAATGGTTGGTAAACATCATGAACATCCTCACAAGATCTTCCTTCCTACATCCAAGAATTTAAATAATGGTCACATCAGGACAGCCCTGTAATATGTTTCTCTTATAAGCCTAACAAAGTCTTGGTTTAAGATGATTTCCAGTCTGTACTGCGCAGTCTCAGCACCCTAACGTTTATAAACATTATAAGTCTCACACGATGAAATGCGAATCGATGTTATTTGTTACGAACGATATACCCCTATAAATCTCCAAGGCCTTTCAAATTCTTTTTTCAACAGCTTCATTGATTTTTACAGCTGTGAAGTTGTTTCATCAAGTGATATGAGAAAGAACGAAGCATAAAGCCTTGACCGCTTTGCATCCATAATAGCGGTTGCTTTGAAACTTTAAAATTTACTTCATGTGAGTAGTTGCAAAATGTGTACATTTTGTAATGTCTTACATGACACAAAACAAAAAAATGCAAACAAACTCTTGAGAGTGCATTGTACGGACTGGAAATCATCTTTAAGTTTCAGGTATTAGAGATCTCTTAAATAGTAAACATATTGCTACAACCCTGAGATGGGATGCTAGTCCACACAGCGTCCCACCCCTCCTCCCACAGAAATAGGGTGGCACCTGCAAATGTATGTATAGATACACCTAGGCAAAGTATTGCATAAGAATAATAGGATTTGCAGATTCATCACACATGCCGAGTGTATATTAATATGGAATCCTTGACAACACTAACCTGCTTTTAAAGAACCATCTGTCATTTTCTTGCACTTGACATCCATCTGTACACATAATCAAATTTCTATGCTCACACTGATAACTTTTTAGTGTTTTTAAAAAAGATCATTGTTGAAGTCATCTCATCATCATCATCATCGTCATCGTCGTCATCATTATCATCACCATTTCTACTTTTAAAGGTGTCTTCAATTAGTGATGTAGTTCATAGCGATCGTATCACAAACGCTTATCCTGATATAACTGTAATAAAATTTAATGGCTTTGATTACAGGGGTGATTTTTCCATGTAGGTCTTTCTCTATAAGTGGTTTAACTTGTTATAAGATAAATGTTGCATTTTGGTATAACTTGCTTGTCTCCATGTGTGCTGATCTAGAGAAGTACAGTGCATTCACTGAAACCGGGGCCACCCAGACAATGAAAACCAATCAGATGGCAGAGCTAAAANTTCACTGAAACCAGGGCCACCCAGACAATGAAAACCAATCAGATGGCAGAGCTAAAACAATAGATTCCAACATTTTCAAATCCAGCCAATCAAATGCCCAGTACAAAACAATGAAATCTCAACTAGTTCATTGTGATGCTAATGTGATTACAGTGTCGCTTAATAAATTATCAAGCTCAAGCTGTTAGTAGTTTTGCGTGCTTGCGGGTTCAAGAAGAATTATATGCTGCACTTTCTATGGGGTCATTTGTTGGTTTAGAAAAAACATGAAAAGAAAAGTTGCATAAGAGTGTCACTCGTAAATATATATCGCTAAGAGAGTGAGTGGTGTTGGGTTTGAATATTGTTGTGGCTGTTTAAAAGAAACCCTTCAAATGGTCTCTGAGTAGTTTCGCATGTGCACAGGTTTGAAATGTATGAATTGGAAAGGAATTATTTTCGAGGTAACTGAAAGAAGCTGAAAGCAAACTTCAAGCCGAAGAAATGAAAAGTTAACTTGATACAAAAATGGACTTGTAACCTGAATTCTTTGTTTGAAATATCTTCGATTTNAAGAAGCTGAAAGCAAACTTCAAGCCGAAGAAATGAAAAGTTAACTTGATACAAAAATGGACTTGTAACCTGAATTCTTTGTTTGAAATATCTTCGATTTTTCCATCCAGGGGAGGTTCCTATGCATGGTGCTATCATCTTTTGTTTTTCCCTGAGTGAGTGATTTTACATGCTGAGGCTTTGATAGTACAACGCGGAAAAAAATTTGTTTGAATTTTCCATGAAGATGTTATTTCAATACAGTGATAACCCAGAAAGAGAACTCAAACCCCGAAATGTACAGCTGCTGAGACATCAAAGGCAATGGTTTTTCCGAGAACTGTGTGGTGGATAACCGAAAGCTTTGTAAAAATAGAAACACACACAGACAACAAGAGTGGAATTTATTTTGTAAAAAAATGTCAAAATCTATTATTCTATGATTTTAAAAAACAGCCGTAAACGTGAGGCCATATATTCACTGTGGAAAACGGTCAATCTAATGAGTTTACCATGCTTATCAATGTCAAATCTGAAGTAAAGTAACACAATATTTTCTAACGTGAAAGTACTAACGGCTTGAGCTTGACAATTTATTAACAGACACTGTAGTTG